AGCTCTAGCTCTGTTTGTTTTCAGTGTCTGTTGATTAATAGGTTTTAAGGCGGGTGGTGAGCTCTCATTCCTCCTCTGTTACCCTTAGTGGAGGAAGGGGAGGGGGCTCTGGGGATCCAGGGTGCAAGTGCCTGATCAGTCCCTCCCTTGCCACGTTCCTGGTTGTGGGTGGTTGGGGGGTGCCCGGCGGGCAGCAGCCCTTCCCTGCCTCATGAGCAGGACTTAAGGCTTTAAGTACACTTAAAAGGTCTCCCTGGGTCGGGGAAGGGGGTCCCTTCCTGGCTGTGGCTGCGGGAGCTGTGCTGGCGGCCGTAAGAGTTTCAGGTTGTGCTGGGGCAGGAGCATCCCCCCTGCCCTGCCCTCGGCTGCTCAGCCGGGGATGCGTCAGAGTGGAGTCTCCCGCTGGCCGTTCATCTGAGGCCGAAGGCTTTGGCCGCTGTGATTGCTGCAATGGCATGATGGCTTGTTTTCAGCCTGGGTGGCTTTTTTTGCAGACCTGCTTCTACTAAAACCACGTTATGCCGGTGAGGACAAATCCTCTGGCCTCTCTGGCATGTTTTCCTCTGACTTTGAGTTGATACCATGTTTTTATTACCAAAGCCAAACAAGCTATGAATTTGCAAACAGAATTTGCAGTAACAAACTCTTCCTATTTAAAGGTTGGTTTCTCTTTGTGTGCTCAACAATACAATGTTTCATCTCCTGCAAGTCTTATGTTGCTTTCAGAGACTTAGGAACTATTGATTTATACAGCATGTATTAACTTCTTCAATAAATGGGGAGTATTCATCAGTGGGGTGTATTAAATTGGGCTGTATATGCATAGAAGTATCTTTCATCCTGTTAATGAAATGTCCTTACCATGCAACAAAGACTAATACACAGCAATTTATACACACAATCCCCTGCAGTTTAAACCTGAAGTTCAGATATTTTTTTTGTTCCCTAAAGGCACCTATTGGAATTTAGGCTAAATGGATCTCAGTATCCCTCTCAAACATATATCAGTCCAAAATTTGTTGTGGGGTTTGGGTTTTTTTTTCATTCCAGAGCTCCATTATTGTTTAAAGTCATCTGTGTTTAAGCACTCCCAGAAGCATTTCAAATTCATATAGAGAGATTTAGTAGTTGAGTCCCTATGGGGACAATTTCCTCTGGTTTGCTTCAGGCAGGGGTTATCAAGAAAAGCAAACTTCTGTTGTTTTTTTGCAATTCTTTACCATGCCCTCTAACCCAGCATATGAGACCCCAGCTTTCAGTGGAGAGGAGTGATTTATCAGCAGATGACTTGGTACTTTGTAGATGCTGGGATTTCTCTCCAGAAACCTCCACTTGTTCCCGTCCTATTACCACATGCCCTGATGCTAATCTGTGTGTACCAGTGCAGCTCTTCTTTCTGTGCCTGACATAGCCATAAATGGAGTTCTTCAAGTTGCCAGAGAAATTCCTGCATCTCACAATGGCTTTTAGCTTAAAACTACCCTTGATAAAGTACTCGCAAATATATATTGGAGAATGGCCTTTTGCAGAGGGATGGCTAAGGTCATCTAATAGGTGTCTCCTACTGATGGCTTCTGTGGTTTACCTTTCATTGCCAGTGGATGGGGTTAGGACCACACTTGTTACTCAGGCAGAGCTCCCATTGACTTCAAAGGAGGATGTATGTGCGGGATTAATCCTGCTCTTTCCCAGCTAGTCCTTTCTTTCTCTCTTTTCCAAGGAAGCTTAGTTAACTTCAGGAATGCTGCTTTTAAAGAGCAGCTTATTTAGCATATTATGCATGATCAGCTCGGCTTGCGAATTGCGCGTGCTGTTCTGAGCGGAGTTACCGTCCCTTTTCCCAGTGTGTGATAAACAGTGCAAAACAGAATACAAACCTAGCCCGGGGTAGTGATACGGATGCAGACTGATTTGCAGGGGCAACGGATCACACTCCTCTGTCCTGGAGAGCATATTTTTGAGCATGTAGATGACAATTTCCCCTTTTCCCCTGGTACGTTCTCCCCACACCCACACCTCTGCTCCAGCATCATCAGAGTGGCAAAAAAGTATCCTACCCTTACATCCAGTACCTTTATATGAATTGTCTGTTTGACTGCAGGGCAGTCACCCAAATAAAAATTACTTACCTGGGGAAAAGGTTGCAGACTAAGGTTCAAACTCTTGGTTGTTGATTTATAATTTTTTTTCTCCTTTTGCTTTTTATTCTTTTCTGAAAGGTGTTCAGTAAAATACATAATAATTTAGCACTCAGGCCATTTTGTGGAGATATTGCAGGGGGTCTTGGTATATCAAAGCAGTGGGTGGTAGTTTCCCACAGTTTACATATAACCCCCTATGGTATATCTGGCTTTGCTGTTACAGGCATGTAAGTCCAGCTTTCCTCTCACGTGTTGTTTTTTGTTTGTCGGCTTAAGTTCAACTCTCTAATGTTATTCTGTCACTTTTTTTTTTTAACTAACCAGTTCCAGTTTCTATGAAAATAAGCTCTCCATGGAAGACAACCCTCAATGTCTGTCAGGATCTGGGTGGAGGTTTTTTTGCAGTGATGTGAAGATAGAGTTGGGAGAGCACAGAGCTACAGCAGCTACCAGCCACACTGTGGGTCACCTAATAGCAAGAGTACACACAATTCTTGGCCAGCAAAAATCACTCTTATTGGGAATGATTGTTTTTTGTGAACCAGATCAAGTGGTCATTTGACATATAATGTCATGTGTTGTTGAGTAGATGCCTGCTAGTTTGCGTGGTGTGTGATATGATGTGTTAACATGAAGCCCTTGCCAAACCTTTCAGATACTTTCGGACTGCTTGGGTTGGTTCATCTGGAAGAGGACAGATTTTGGGTTAGAGCATCTCCTTCGGCTTTTTGAATTAAGGGACTGAATCCCCATAGCTCCTCTGATGTGAAACCATTATGGATCTGTGCAGCCAAAAGTTGTCCTTGATTGTACAGCTGGCAGAAGACCTGACCTACAGCCCAGCCAACACAACGTACTGTAATTCATAGCGTTGGCTGTCATGACCATGCTCCGTGCTGCGTGGTGGACGCTTGATGTGGGACTCTCCTGCGTGTGTTGTTAGAGGGGAATCCTACCGTGTAAGGGCTGCAAAAACAAATACACATGGTAAAAGTTGTGGGAAGCATAAGCACTGCTCTTTGGCTTGCTTCTCTTGGATGCACACTTTTTTTTGCATGTTATCAAAGGGGTGAGTCAAATACCTATGTACAGTTGGGGCTGGGGGAGCCTCCCGGGGCAGGTGAGGCTGGAAGAGCTGAAGGTGAAGCTTTGCTGTGTCTTGACCAAAGCATGATGGAGTGGCTTCTTGTTTGTTTGGGGGAAGACTGACGTTTCTTTTCCTCCTAGCTCTCAGTCTGTCTTCCCTCTTCCTTCCCCCCAGTCTAGAAACTCATTCTCAAAGAATAAGTGAATTTTTTTTCAAATGCTTTTAAGGGAAGCTAGAAGTGTTCGAACCAAGATCAGATAATAATTTGTCTAAAGTGGCACGGTGAGGGTGCGTGTGTTTGGGGGTGCTGGGGAGCAAGTGGTGGGGTTGGAGCCATCCGCTGGCAGACCCTGAACGGCAGCGGCGCTATCGGGGGCTGCCGTGGTATCACTACTTTATTTTAATGTGATGCCTTTTACTTGATGTTAATGCAAGTTGTTCCTTACTTAAAGTAATAAAAGGAAATGAAGACACATTCTAAAATGAAACCTGACTCTAATCCATTCATCATCTAATACCAGCCTCTTTATCTTTGCTGGTACCTAATCTGGTTAAATGTCCCTGTTGTAGGATTTTAGTGAAAATCCTCTATGGGGAATAGGGTTTTTTGCAATTGGATTACTCGCAGTAAATGGTCCAGCAGTTCGCTTGTTTCAGCTTAATTTTTTCTTTGTGATCTTGTAAGGGTAAGTTACAGTTCAGCCTGCCTTTTCCTTTCATTCATTCACTCCTTTTTTTTTTTTTTTTTTTTTTTT